TTTTTGTTTCTTTTGTTTTGTTTGGGGACCGGGATAGAATTCCAGCCCTTGCAAGACAGGCAGCAGAACCACTGAGCCAAATGCCTGGCCCTCAGAGACCTGTTTTTAAGTGTAGCAATGCCTTGATGTCATTGGCAAATTTCAGTGCCAAGCTGGCTCATACACTATCCAGACCACACATCTTACCTGCCCAGTCAGCTTCTCGACATAAATAAGATGCTATCAGCTGAGCTCTGCAACACAGCAGGGTTTGCGGTGGTACCTTAAGATCTGCTATCTTCTAATTAATTCTATGTCATCCCGATCAACCCAGTTTCATAGCACATGTAACCAGTGCTCTATTAACAAACATTTACAAATAGTTCTATTGCAAGGACTTCACTACTCTTAGGTACACAGTCTGTCACCAAGGTGACTAGTATGGACCATGGGGCATGTCCTGAAGCTTGTGTAACAAAAAAATATTGTTAATGACTCAGCAGCCACAGTCCTTTCCTAATCTCCCAAGGCCATTCCCTCCACCCCTTCCATAAATGGACAAATCCTTTTGCTGAGCTGCTCCCTTGACCCTCCTTGGTTGGAATTTATCAAAAAATTAAAAGAAGTCAGAGATGCTAATAATATGTTCTACACAGTACATGACTTGGAAGGAAAGAAACCCCTGGAACTTCAGATAAGTATGGAATGAAGAAAATGAGTTTTGAGAAGTAACCCAGAGCGGTACTGGGCAAGAGAAAAGGGAGAGAATTTTTAGAGATATTGCTTAGAAGTTTTAGAGATATACACAGAATCCTTCTTAATGCTCTCTGAAAGATACAAGTAGTTTGAATATTTGGAAATACTTGTTCATTAACTTGGTTTCTGAACCGCAATTCTCTGAATGGTAAACTGGACCAATTACTTTTTTTTTTAAGCAAAACATTTATTGGTACATTTTAATATACATAATAATAGCATTCATCATATGGAATTTGTACCTGCACAGGACACGTCCAGCTGCTTCCTTTTTCTCCCCCACTTGATCCCTCGATCCCTCTTCCTCTCCCCATATACAAAAGCCTTGCTTTCAAAATCAATCAATTACTCTTAGAACAACTATATTTGCAAAGAATTCAGTCTTTGGACATAAGAATGCACTAAATTCTTCACATGCCATAATACAGACTGCATTGTTTAAAGGCACAGTGTTTTGTACAACAAAGCATGGCAAAAATGCTACAGAAGTCACAACCAGACTTCTTTCTCAATAGAGAATGCAATTATTCTACAGGTGTTAAAAATCTTACCTAATAACACACCAAGTACCTAGAAAAACGAGAACAATCCAAACCCAAAGGTAGTACAAAAAAGAAAATTATAAAGATTAGGGCAGAAATCAATGACATTGAAAGAAAGCCCCTTCAAAAATTAATGAAGTAAAAAATTAATCAGAGTTGTTTCGTCAAAAGAATTTTTTAAAAAGAGATGAACCCTTAGCCAATCTTTTCTGAAAGAAAAGACCCAAATCAATGCAATTAAAAATGAAAAGGGTGAGGGCCGGGGATTTAGCTCAGTGGTGCCACCACCTGCCTCGCAAGCGCAAGGTCCCAAGTTCAATACCCAGTACCAAAAAAAAAAAAAAAAAAAAAAAAAAAAAAAAAAAAAAAAAGGTGAAATCACAACACCCTCCTGAAATAAAAGACTGTTAATAACTACTTCACAAACTTGTATTCCAATAAAGCAGAGAATTCAAAAGAAATGGATAGATCCCTGGATACATTTGAATTACCAAAACTAAACCAAGAAGATTTAAGAACACTGAATAACCTAATAACAGGTGATGAAATTGAAGCAGTAATTTTAAAAATCTACCAACTAAGAAAAGTCCACGTTCAGATAGATTCAATGTTGAATTCTATAAAACCTTCAGAGAAGACCTAATACTAATACTCCTCAATCTGTTTAATGAAATTGAAAGGAAAAGAGTGCTCTCAAAGTTATTCGTGGAAGCTAACATTGCCCTGATTCCAAAACCAGACACAGATCCAAACAATAAAGAGAACTATAGACCAATCTCTTTAATGACTATAGGTGCGAAAAGCCTCAATAAGATACTGGCAAACAAAACACAACAAATCATCAAAAAAAAAATGACCAAGGCTTCATCCCAGGGATGCAAGGATGATTTAACATGCAGAAATCAATAAATGTAATATATCACATAACAGAAGCAAGGACAAAAATAACATGATCATCTCAATATCTCTGTAGATGATTTAAAAAAAAAACCTTTCACAAAATCCAAAATTCTTTCATGATAGAAACCCTGAAGAAAAATAGGTATAGAAAAACCTTATCTCAATATGATAAAAGTTATTTATAACAAATCTACTGCCAACATCATTTTTGGGGTTATCAGGGATCGAACTCAGGACCTTGAGCTTGCAAAACAAGCAGGGGAACCACTCAGCTAAATCCCTGACCCACAAATATATTAATTGGAAAAAAAACTGAAAGCTTTCTGTCTAAAATGAGGAAAAAAACAAGGTTGTCTACTATCACCACTCCTCTTCAACATGATACTCAAAACATTAGCCTGAGCAATTAGGCAAGAAAAAAAAGTGCTGCATATAGAAAAAGAAGTCAAATTATCATTATTTGTAGATAGCATAACCTTCTATATCAGAGACCTAAAATAATTCATGAAAAGATTCTTAGAATTAATAACCGAATTCAGTAACATAGCAGGATACAAAATCAACACAAAAAAAATCAATAGCATTTCTGTACACTGATAATGAACCTACTGAGAAAGAAATTAGGAAAAAATACCATTCATAATAGCACCAAGAAAAATTAGGTACTTCAGAAGTGAAAGACCTCTACAATGAAAACTATAGTGCTCTGACAAAGCAAATCAAAAAGGACCTCAGAAAATAAAAAGAGGGCCCAGGGATTTAGCTCAGTGGCACTGCGCCTGCCTTGCAAGTGCAACGTCGTGAGTACAACCCTCCAGTGCCAAAAAAGAAGGAAAGAAAATACAAAGATATCCCCTGCTCCTGGAAAGGCAGAACTGGTAGAGTTCAAATGCCCATACTTCCAAAATTGATATACAGATTTAATGCAACCCAATCAAAATTCCTACACCATTTTTCAAAAACTGGAAAAAACAATCTTAAAATTCACATGGAACCAGAAAAGACCCAGAATAGCAAAAGCAATCCTAGCTAAAAGAGCAGAGAGAGAGAGGCATCACAATCCTGGATTTCAATCCTGGACTATATTATAATGCTACAGTGATTAGAAACTGCATGGCACTGGCACAGAAATAGACATGAGGATCAATGGAACAGAATAGAGGACTCAGAAAAAATCTCAGGCACATTCAACTATCTAGTCTTTGACAAACTAGCCAAAATAGACACTGGAATAAAGATGGCCTGTTTAATAAATGGTAGTGAGAAAACTGGCTGTCCACATGCAGAAGATTAACTCTAGACTCATGTCTTCCACCATGTTTTAAACTAAAATCAAAATGGACCAAAGAGCTAAATGTTAAAGCAGAAACATTTTATCTGATGGAAGACAAAATAGGTTAAACTCTTAAAATCATAGGCATAGGTAAGGACTTTCTGAACAGAACTCTGATCGCACAGGAAACAGTACCAAGAATCAACAAATAGAACCATATAAAATTTTAAAACTTCTGCGCAGCAAAAGAAACAACTAAGTAAAAAGACAACCTACAAAATGGGAAAATTTGTTACTTGCTATTTCTTAGACTGAGGACTAGTATCTAGAATATGGGATGAAATCAAAATTTAGACTCCCCAAAATAAAAGACCCAATCAAAAAATGGGCTACTGAAATGAATACTTAACAGAAGGACAAATGGCCAATAAATATACCAAAACATGTTCAACATCGCTGGCCATCAGAGAGATACAAATTAAAACAACTCTGAGATTCTATCTTTCACCAAAAATAACGGCCATATATAAAAAAAATCAAATAATAACAAATGCTGGTAAGGCTTCAGGGAAAAAGGAACCCTCACTGTTGGCAGGAATATAAATTAGTATAACCACTTTGAAAATAAGTATGGAGAGACTTCAAAAAGTTAAAACTAGGGATTGGGGACTTAGCTCTGTAGGACCACCACCTGCCTTGCAAGCTCAAGGTCCTGAGTTCGATCCCCAGTACCAAAAAAAAAAAAACTAAAACTAGAAATTCCATTTGACCCAGTTGTTCCCCTTGTAAGTACCTTCCTGAAAGAGTTAAAGACATACATCACAGTGACACATGCATACTTATGCTTATAACAAATAGCTAAATCTTGGAAACAGCCTATATGCCCGTCAACAGATAAACAGATAAAAGAAATGTGATACTTACACATGATGGAGTACTACTCTACCATAAAGAAAAATAAACTTGAATCATTTGTTGGGAAACGGATGTGCCTTGACACTATAATGTTAAATGAGATAAATCAGACACACAAGTTTAAATATCACATGGTTTCTCTTATATGAAAACCCAAATTATAAAAAAATAACAAAATAAAAGATAGATAATAGAAATAGGGAGATGGATCTTCCTCAAAGTGGAAGTGGATCAAGAGATGAAGAGAGGGGGAAACAGGAAAAATAAAGGGCTTTTAAAAAATTAAGAAAAGTTCTATACATATACCAACTTCACACAAGGAACGTAAACGTGTATTGCAAACATGTGCAAAGAAAAGGAAGAGGATCCAGAGATGCACGAAGAGGGAAAGGAGGGAAGGAAAACGAAACAGAATGGGGAAAGAAGGAACTAAAAGGAAGTGAGACACATTATGTACACGTACCAGTTCCCTACAAGGAATCTAAACACTGTGCACTACAAACGCGTACTAATAAAAACATGGAAAAATCATATACTAATTTCCTCCAACGCTTTTTAAAAGACAGGCATGTGGGCAAAGACTCATTCTAGCTTGCATTCTTTCAGTCTCAACAAAGAAGTCCAAACAACAAAACCTGCTTCCTCAGTGGTGTTCTCCAATCATCTAGAAGCTTCTGAGCAGTTGATCTGAGGAAAGCAGGACTCTCTATCAGGATCATCAATGTCTGATAATCCAGTTCCTCCCTCTCTCCTCTGGAAGACAACCTGTCAGGCAAGTTTGAGAGGAGGGTGGTCACATATCCTTCAAAAGCAAAAAGCTTTACCCAACAAATAGTTTCAGGTCAAAGTACATTCATATATCACACCAATGAGTATTCAATTAATTTTTCAACTGTACAAAGAAGATAACAAAGTCTCTCTAAGATAACTGTTTGAGACCTTGATAATTATACCAGGACTTTTTTAAAGTTATACCAAACTTAAAAATAAGAAAAAAGATGTTTTTAAGACAAAGACAAAAATGATTTGAAAGAACTTTCTTAAACCTCAGGAAAGCTGCAAAGGCTGTAAAGTGCCATTTTATAACACTATGTAAACCCCCAAAACCTCAGTACGTAGCATGTTTAATTCTCTAATTTATACTTTTTTCTATTGCTGTGATGTTGTACAAGGATCATACCATAATGCCTATAATTAGAAAAAAATTAAAAATTTTAAAATTATGCACAGGAAGGATGAAAAGATAATGTACCTCTCAGATACTATGAATTGTATCTGTAGGGTAAACTACTCTTTACTTTTTATTCTTGGAAGCTTTCGTAATGGGGATGTATTCATTTACAAAGAAAAATAACTTTAAAATATATTTACAGTATTGAAATGCCAAAGGACTAATATGTTTACACTATACTAGATCTTAGCCAAAAGGCCAAGAAGCAATGGAATAACACATTTATTAAGGGCCATAATATATAAATAAAAAGTATGATCAGGGAAAAGCATTCACTACTGATCAAGCCACCTTTCCCAGCTAAACAATTTGCATATTACATCCCAGCACTTCTCAAACTTGAGCATGTGCAAGAACTACCTAGAGAGTGTGTTAAGACACAGGAGAGATTTTTCCTAACAGGTTTGCTACCAGAGCACAAATGACAGGAAAACTGCCACTAAATCAAAGCCAACATGGGAAAGGAAATGATTCATATCAATGCCATCATCATCGGACACGTAGATGGGCCAGCCCACCACTACTGGCCATCTCATCTCCACATCTGGTGGCATCAACAAACGAATCATTGGAAAAATTGGAGAAGTAGTTTGCTAAGATGCAGAAAGTTTCCTTTAAGCATTCCTGGGTCTTGGATAAACTGAAAGCTGAGCAAGAGCATGGTATCACCATGGACATCTCCCTGTGGAAATTTGAGACCAGCAAGTATTATACGTCCATCATTGATGGCCCAGGATACATAGACTTTATAAAAAATGTTATCAGAGGCACATCTCAGGCTGACTGTTCTATCCTGACTGTGCTGCTGGGGTTGGTGAATTTGAAGCTGTTACCTCCAAGAATGGGCAGACCATGAGCATCCCCTTCCGGCTCGCGCTGAGAGTCAAACAACTAATTATTGATGTTAACAAAATGGGTCCCACTGAGCCATTTTACAGCCAGAAAAGATATGAGGAGATTGTTAAGGAAGTTAGGAACTACATTAAGAAAATTCGCCGCAACCTTAACACAGTAGCTTTGGTGCCAGTTTCTCATTGGAATGATGACAAGCTGGAGTCCAGGGCTTAGTTTAAGGGATGGAAGGTCACTCATAAAAATGGCAGTGCCAGTGGAACCACACTGCTTGAAGCTTTGATTTCATTTACTACCCACTCGCTCAACTGACAAGCCTTTGTATCTGCCCCTCCAGGATATCTACCAAATTGGTGGTGTGGGTACCGTCCCTGTGGACTGAGTGGGAACCCGTGCTATCAAACCTGGCATGGTGGCCACTTTTGCTCCAGTCAATGTCACAACTGAAGTGAAATCTGATGAAATATACTGCGAAGCTTGGAGTGAAGCTCTTCTTGGGGACAATGTGCTTCAACATCAAGAACATGTCTGCCAAAAAACGTTCATTATTATATCATTGCTGATGACAGCAAAAAAGACCCACCAACAGCAGTAGCTGGTTCCACTATTCCAGGTCAAATCATTCTTGAAACCTGGTAATGCTGCCGTTGTTGACATGGTTCCAGCAAGCCTAAGTGTGTGGAGAGCTTCTCTGACTATCCTCCTCTGGGTTGTTTTGCTGCTCAAGATATGAGACAGACAGCTGCTGAGGGTGTTATCAAAGCAGTGAATAAGAAGGCTTCTACGGATGTCAAGTTTACCAAGTTTTGCCCAGAAAGCTCAGAAAGCTAAATGAATATTATCCCTAATATCTACCACCCCAATCTTTTTTTTTCAGCTTTAATTGAGTTTATTGGTACATTTTAGGGATACAGTACAGTTACATTCATTGTTGGGATCTTGTACCTCTACATGACAAGTCTTGGTTCTCATTTTTTCCCCTTACCCCTGCCCTCCCTTCATCCCCTCCTCCCCTCCCCATCTACAAACACTTTATTTCCATCTTTTCATTACCTCACATTTTTTTCTACCACCCCAGTCTTAATCAGTGGTGGAAGATGGGTCTCAGAACTTTCTCTTAATTGGCCATTTAAATTTCATAGTAAAAGACTGGCTAATGATAACAATGGATCATTAAATCTTCAGATGATAAGAAGAATGTTTTGTAGATCTTTTCATTTTTCATATGTATGGCAGTTTAACGTTTTTTAAATCAATACTTTTTGGTTTTTTTTTTTTTTTTTTTTTGGTACCAGGGATCGAACTCAGGTCCTTGAGCTTGCGAAGCAGGTGGCGGAACCACTGAGCTAAACCCCTGGTCCCTTAAATCAATACTTTTTAATGGAAACAACTTGACCAACACTTCTGTCGCAGAATTTTGAGACCCATTCAAATGAAATTTAATGAGGGAAAAAAAAGACAGGTGATGGAACCTGAAAATCCACATTTTGAACAAACTCTTTAGTGATACTGATGCTGCTAGCCATTGGATGTTACTCTGCATAGTCAAGTTTGATGCAACGAGAAGGGAGTAGAGTCCAGGCAGCACACCAAGTTCATTCCAGACTGGAGAGAAGGGAAAGTGAACTCAAAGTTCCACAGCTTTCAAGGTTCTAAAACAGGAACACAATCCATTGCTCTCCAGTCAACCTTCAGTGATTAAATACTTAATCATGTCCTTACAGAGGGGGTGGGTCAATGAAATGAAGATCATAATGATTCTTGGACTAATGAGCTTGTAAGAGCATCCGATGGAACTAGCCTTTAGACCCAACTTGGCAGACTGCCTCCATCCTCCCTAGAGTTCTCCATAAGCATACCGAGTCTCCTGGCAGTACTTTTCAAGCATTGCATTGTTTCCTACAGTGATTTTGTTAGATGCATAAGAATATAAGATAACCACAAATTCAGCACCTGTCACTCATAAGGAGCAAACAAAGATAAGCACACACTGCATGAATTGACCCCACACTAAGTGTCTCTGGGAACAACAGAGCATAGGGAAGAATCGTAAAGAGCTTCTGCCCTTCCACTGCCAGCCTCACATTATGAAGACACATTAGAGTTCTTTGGAGGCAAAGCATAAAAACCATAGTCAGAAACTCCACAAAGCCTGAGAAAGAGACCTCACTGCCTAAAAAATTAAGCCTACACCCAGCATCCTCCACCAGTAGAGCCCTTCCAAGTACTTGAGGATGTCCACAGGGTTTCCAGTTACCCTAAAGAAGAAGATCCCTAGCTGAGAGGACTCCAAGCTCTACTCAGGGAGACCTTCAGAGAGAAACTAACTTAATTAACCATTCAGAAAAACACAAGAGAATTCCCGACAGCCACCAGGCCCTGAAATGCCACATCTGCCATTTATTCCCAATGCTGTCATTTCCTGCCTGCAGTCAACTAATTACACACAGTGAGAATTCTGGAGCTGCCAGTTTTAATGTTTATCTGCTGTTAACTTTGTGTGTGACCTCAAAGATATGTCTCTAGTGCCTTTATTCCCTCTGCTATAAAAGCAAGATAAGGAAGCAACATGCTTGACAAAGTGTCCTAACATAACACTAGTCATTGCTATCCTAGAGATGCTCACAAGACAGTAATTAACATGTCTCTTTTACCAAGGGCTTTAAAGATAACTGATGACATGTTATGAAAGAGCGTGGGATCTCAAATATTATTTCCTTTTCCTAAAACAGGTTTCAATGGCAAATGCTACCTCTAAAATTGTGGATAAAAGCTGTTTTGAGTGTGTTTCTGAATAAATCATTCGATTTAATTCAAAAGAACATCTGTAGCCATAGCTCTAATGATACAATATGGCTTAAAAAGTAGAAAACATGGGGGTGGGGATTTAGCTCAGTTGTTCCACTGCCTGCCCTGGAAGAGAAAGGTCCTCAGTTCAATCCCTAGTACCCCCCACCCAAAAAAGTAGAAAACATACTAGAAAAGTCACCTTAGATTTTCATAACCTTTAACTTTCAGCCTGAAAACTTAGTTTAACTAAGAAGAAAGATTGTACTTTCTCACCAATGAATATTTTGCAACCACTTAAAACAATGTTTTGGTCATTTAATGATGTAGTTTGTCCTGTTCTCTAAGAAAAGCTGGTTCCAAAATAGTCTGTATACAAAACAATCACAATAATATGATTTTGTAAATGTATGTGTATAGAGAAAAAATATTCAGTGTGTGTAGCCATTATATTTTGCATCTGTTAGGATACCAGCCCTTATACATTTGAGTAAGACATATATTCATGCTATAACATGTACTAATATTGTATATGTCATTAATTTAATGTAGATTTCCCCAGTTTCTTGTATTTCATCTGTATGGAAGTTTTAAATTTTAAAATAGTCACATTTGTTCCTCTTTTCTTCACGAGTTATTTCCTTAGCTTTAATCATGAAAGATGGCATTCCTAATACATGCTATAGTTCCTGCTAGTTTTCCTACAATTTGATTTGCAATATTCTGAACTTTATTGTTTGAGATAGGGTATGTTTTCTAGGGTCTAAATTAATGTGTTATTAAAGCCTTTGTTAAAATAATTTTTATCTCCCCATCTTATTTTGAAAAAATTGCAGCACATTTGAGCTATATGTAATTGGGAAATTATATCTTTCAATTT